TCATCCATCATTTCATTGGCATAGTTATCATCCTGTCCATGCATCCTCACCCAACCAAGGGGTGTACCCTATAAACCTGCACACCCCCCACCACAGTCCTCAGCCCCTTTCCATCTCCTGATCCCGAGCCCCCAGCCCCACCATCTCTTGACGTTGTCTTCTCTGCCTCCCTCCCAGGCCTCACTGCCTCCCTGGGTAGGATTCCGCTCTTTGCTCTTCTCCATTGATGGTCCCAGGGCCCTCCACTTCTAGACTGATAAATTAATCACTCCCCTCTTTTCTTACAAAATGTCCATCTTTAGAATTCCAACCTTCACAATCAGTCCTGATAACAATTATTCACCATTGCATCACAGGAGACCCATCTATATTTCGTTTCATTCTTCATACCTTTTTAAACAACATAAAAGACAAGTATACACATGGACATCACCAGATGGAAAACACAGAAATCACATTGACTACATCTGTAGAAAGAGATGGTAGAAAAGCTCCATATCATCAGCCAAAACAAGGCCAGGGGCAAACTATGGAACAGATTATCAGTTGCTCATATTCAAGGTCAGACTGAAGCTGAAGAAAACTAAAACAAGCCCACAAGAGCCAAAATATGACCTTGAATATATCCCACCTGAATTTAGTAATCATCTCAAGAGCAGATTTCATGCATTAGACACAAATGACTGAAGACCCCAACAAGATGGATTGGCACAGTGGCAGCAGCAGTGGGTTCACGCATAGCAATGATTGTGAGATTGGCACAGGACTAGGCAGTTTCATTCTGTTGTATAGAAGGGTGCCATGAGTTGGTACCGACTCGATAGGACCTAACAACAGTAACAACTGACAAGGACCGTGCAAGCCACAGGCCCTTTCAACATTGCTGTTGGAGAGAGTAAGTCTAGTTCAAAAACATCGGAGCTGCCACTGTATTCAATGAAACCCAATATAAGTTTCGAGATTATCTGTTGACTCCTGGTGAGGCTTTAACTCAATCACATCCCTCCTTCCCTTCCAAAATAGTTATACCACAATTTTTGTTTAAGTCAGTATTCATTGTTTACGTTTTTCAAATGTTCAAAGGTATCAGGTAGTTCCTCCTGGAGAATTCCCTTCCAGGTCCCTCCGCTCTCTTTCCCCCACATAAGCCTTTACTGTCTAGGCTCCCTTTATACAGCTGTCTTCCTAGGACTTGCCTTTGCTGGCTTCCAGTGTGGGATTCCCCCTTCCCAGTTCCTGCGGTTTTTTCTTTTGTGGTTTGTTCACTTGTTTGCTTTTTCTGTTTTGAAACATCTTCTGATAGCTTCCCAAGAAAGTATGTATAAGAGGTTCACATTTTGAGTCCATGCAGGCATGAAAACATTTCCTTTCTACCATCACCCTGGATTAGTAATTTAACTGGCTAGATTTAAAAATAATTTTTTCTCAGAATTTGAAGGCATTTCTCTAATTGTCTTTTTCCATAATTACTTTGCCTTCTGTTCCTTTACATATGATCTATACTTTATCTCTGAAATTTCTGGAAGATTTTAATGCCTCGTATCACTTTCACTATTCCTTCTTCTCCTCTATATTCTGAGTACCAAGCTCAGTGCTGGTAGGCATTCAGAAAATGTTGACTGAATGAACAGTACTCATTTTGGTGATTGGTGGTTAGCTCTGTTGTCACCTTCTCCCTTTAGGCACACAAGCCCTGCCCCCTCTCTTCTCCCTGGGATACCATCAATGCCGCTGGAACTACGAGGATGAGCAGGATGTTAAAGCAGTAGATGCAGGATTTGATGAACATGACATTCCATATGATGTCATGTGGCTGGACATAGAGCACACTAAGGGCAAGAGGTACTTCACATGGGACAAGAAAAGATTCCCCAAACCTAAAAGGATGCAAGAGCTGCTCAGGAGTAAAAAACGTAAGGTAAAATAAACAACATCTGCACTGCTAAATTACTAAGTTTTAATATTAAAAATTGCCTTGGCACATTAGTGGAGAGAACCATTTATAGAAAATGGCCACAAAGATGGTGCCTTGAAATGTAATTGTACTTACTGTAACAGAGGAGATAGAAAAAAAAAAAAAAAAACGGGAAAAGGTGCTGACTCCATCCATCCCTGCCCT